CAGCATCACGCCCATCGCTTCCACCAGAGGTTTGTGAAACATGAAGGTGCCGTGGCAAGTGTCCAAGTCTGCCTCCGAGTGCCGCTGCTTCATGCGGGCCCGTTGCACCCCAGTGGGCATGGCAAGCAAGACTCTGGCGCCGAGCCGCTGAGCTCTTCGAACGCACTGGTCCAAAACAGCCGTCTTGCCCGTGCCAGGCGGGCCCAGCACGGCCACCATAGAGCCATGCTCGTCGGCCAAGTGCAAGAGCCGATCCGCTTCTTCCTCGGAGGCGGCGTAGCGCACGGCCAACGCTTGGTCCACCCGCTTGTTGACGTTGTCGGCCACCCGCAGCTGATCCCCGGCCAGAGGGAACTCGTCGTCTTCATCAAGGTAGGCTTGCCGGATGCGCAACGGGGCTTGCACGCGGGCTTCCCGCTCCATGGTGCCGTCCAAGTGCTGCTGGATGAAGAAGTCGTTGGCCCGGATCATTTGAACGATGGTCTGAACGTGGGCCTCCTTGTGGGCGCTGAGCGCCATGTGCTGCCGAATCCACGCTTCGTTGCGCCACTTTTCGGGCGCCCAGTGCAAAGCACAGGCTAAAAACTTGACGTGGTCGGGCGCCAGCTCCAACACGTTGGCGACCAGCAAGTCGTCCAGCTCGCGGAAGGGAACGTGGAGGGCCAACCACTGTCCGAAGTACCTGGCCGTAGCAGTGTGTTGGGCAAGATGTTTCTTAACGTGATGGAAACGAAACGCAAACGATGCCTCGTGTATATTAGAGACGTTTGGCCCAGGCGCTTGTCGTTCAGCATGGAAACCATTTCGGCCGCGATGATCTTCTCGCCAAACGGCTGGAAGTGCCGGGCGAAGGTGTCCAAGTCTCGACCCCGAGGGTCCTTCAAGTGCGCTTTCTTGATGTGCTCCAACACGTCTCCCTTGTTGTTCGTCTTGCGCAGGAAGTCCAGCAGGCACATGCCGTCTCCACGCCAGGAAGACTGCTCATAGCGCTCCACATACGCGGGCTTCTTGGACATGCCAGGGTGCGGGGCGATGATCGGCTCCATGGTGCCGCCCATGAAGAACATGGGGAAGTTCTGCGACGCAAGCTGCATCCACATCTCCGGCTCGCCCGGATGCGATGTGAAGAGCACCCGCCTCGCAGCGCCGTAGCCGCTGCTCTGGTCATCCATCAGCTCCCTGCCTGGCCCATCACTAAACTTGGCCAAGTAACTGGTGGAGTAGCGGATCATGTGGCCAGAGCCACGCTCCAGCTGCGCATCTTGATGGCACTTCAGCACATCCAAGACTTCGGGGCAATAGGCCCGGATCCCCAACTTCTTGTCCTCCTTGGTGTGATGGAGCTGGACTTTCTCTGCGTGCTCGTCATAGAAGCTTGGGCCCTCCATGACCGGCCAGCCGCTCCCACCTCGACCAGGCTGCCCATCCAACACCATGCCTCGCAAGGGATGCCCTTGGTCGGGTACTGTGGCTTGAAATTTCTGCTCCAAGTTCATGCCCTGCAGCGTCTCCGCGAAGATCAGGCCATGGAGGTGGACGGCACCACGCCCGTGGTAATCTTGCGTGGCCTCTTTTCTTTTGCCGTCCTGGAACTCCAGGCGCCCAACAAAGTTCACCTTGATCTTGCTACCGTCGGGCTTGGCGCCTGCAAAGATGCCGTTGCGCCAGGCCGCCGTGGCATCCCCGGCTTTGCGCCCGCCGCCGCAAACCCACTCGCGGAACAGCTCCGTCAAGAGGTGGGCCAGGTGCAGCGCCTCGGGCCCGGCCAGTTGGAGCCTCTGCCGGCCTAGCTGCGCCATTTGCTGCAGGATCCATGCATGGTAGGGCGCCGACCATTCAAATGGCGCCCAAGTCAGGAACGCCACCGGATACCCACATTGAGCCTGCATATCCAGGGCTGCGGCATGTCGTAGCTTCCAGAACTGGGGCGTCCACGGCGCTCCCTTCATGGCTTGCCACATCGGCATTCCGCGAAGCGCGCCCTTCTTGCCGCCCACGTCGGACCACACCGACAGGTCGTAGACAAAGTGCAGGAGCTCGTACTCGCCGGCATAGTCCGCAATGGGCCCCCAGACCTTGGCGAGGAAGTTGCGCTTGGCGCTCTGCCTGGTCGCCTCCTCGGCGTCGAGGAGCGCATCGTTGGCCGGTACGCCTTGGCCGCGCCGTTGCCGGCGGACATCCGAGAGGCGGGCGACCGTCTCACACAGCTCGTGGTGCCAGTAGAGGTGTGGCCAGAGCGCCGTCTCGATGCCGGCTTCCTCCAAGAACTGCAGCGGCCGCTTCCGGCGTGCGGAGTCGGCGTCCGGGTACTTCTGCCAGAAGGCACGGTGGCGCTGCACCCACTCCGCGTAGTTGCAATCGTCGCTCTTCAGGAGAAACTTGAAGGCCTGCTACACGCAAACTATGCATATGAGAAACGTGGGGGAAGCGTGAGGGTTAGACACTCGCGCGTCGCCGGCGACGAGTTCCCGCCTTCTTCGCTTGCTTTCGGAGACTGTGGGTTGGGAGCGCTTTGACCTTGTCCTCGACATCCTCTTCCGCCCAGGCAAACCGGATCATGCTGCTGTGGAAGTAATAGCCAAAGTCTGCTTTCCATTCAGGTCCACAGTCCACGTCGAGAGGCCGCAGCGCTTGGACCTGAGCGCGGGACAAGCCCCGCAAAGCTTTGGGCACTTCTTCAGGCTGGGGCACCCAAATCCTTTTCTCGGCTGGCTTGACACAATTCTTGCACCGCCCCACCGGGCCGGTCGATGCCCGCAGGGCGGCCGGCTCCTTCAAGCGCACCGTCTCCACCGAGTAACATTCCTTGCAAAACTGCCAGGAGCCTCGCTTGCACCAGGTCTCCACGTTCCTGGCGAGGACAGAGGCTGCCGCGACGGGTAAGCCGGCGTCGTTAGGAGCAATGTCTTGGATGTTGGCCCTCACGTCTGCAGTCATTGGATGCTTCCATTGATGACCTGCATGGCGAACGGTGCGCTGCCTCTCTGGAAAGAACTTCTTCAGCACGAGCGCCCGGTCTTGTTGCACTCTTTCCTGGTACCCTTGCAGCTCTTCAGCGGACGGCGGGGCCGCCACGGACGCCCTCTTGGCCAAGAGATCTTGGGCGGTGTGCTCTGTGGTATCCTTACGAAGCTGCTCTTGCTCTGCCTCCGGCAAGTCCACGATGGAGCTCTCTGCAAAGGCTGCCTCGAAGACCGCTGGGGAGTCGCGCCCCCAGGCTCGCAGCAGGCGCACCACGTTGCGACGCCCCCCAGGAGTCTCCAGGGCCCGGCGCAGGTTCGCAGTGCTGCAAAGGCTGCATCGTCCATCCTGATTCCCGCGGGCGGGCTGTCCTGTGCCGCGCGCGGCGAACTGGCACGGCGCGCCCCCACGCCCGCAGCACACCTCCGCTTGCGTCCCAGCGGGCCTTCGCAACACGCGCGCTGGCGCCGGCGCGCGGGCCGCTGCGGCGGCAGGCTCCAACTCCTGAGGCTCCGGCGGCTGCTTGCCGGTGATGCGACGGCGCTTGGGCAGCTGCTCCGCCATGCCAAGCCGCGGCCGGGACGCAGAACGCGGCCGGCGAAGACAATCCTAAGATGGCTGCAAAGCTAGGGCCAGCGGGCACGCAGGATCCGACGACCGCGCCAAGACAACGCGCAACGACGACGCAGCGCCAGCCGACGCCCCGGACAGACGCACCAGACCGTGGCGGGACACGCGCAGCACGCGCGGCCGTTTCTTCCACGTAGCGATCGAAGAGGCGGCGTCAGTGCATCGACGTTGCAGATGGTGAATAAAGGTGGCTAAGTCCTACCTGCAATGGATCTAAAAGCTATACATCCCGCCTACGACACGGAAGCCCCCGTTCTCGTCACAGGTTGTGGTCGAGGCTATCCCGCTCACTGCTTCCACGCGGTCTCGGCAGCGACCGCCATGTCCTTCAGAGCTTTCAGCAGAGTCTTGAGGTTCTCGGTTTTTGGATATCGTGTCTTCGTCATGAAAGACCCGACTGTCTTTTGCAGGCCCTGATGTTTCAAGATGGTCTCTGGTATGTCCTGCAGGGCCGCTTGCACCTGCTGAAGGCTCGGGCGATCCTTGCCGCCCAACTTGTTTTCCAGCTCGGTGAGGAGCTCCTTCAACGCTTCGATCTTCTCCAGCGGCCACTCGCTGACATCTAAGCCGGCCGGGGGCGGCGCCTCGTCCTCGGAGGAAGCCAAATCAATGTCCTTTGTGGCGCCCAAGCCGTCTTCATTGTCCGAGGCCAGTGCATCCACCAGCGGCTTCCCGCCCTTGCCTTTGCGTGTCTTGGGAGGCCTCTCTTCCACAGCCCCGTCATCCCAGGGCGCGCGGCTGTCGCCTTGGCTCTCCAGGCCGGGTGGCGCCCAGGTGTCGTCTTCCTCCCATCCACGCTCCTAACCTCCGCCCTTGGCCGTTGTGGCGGTATCGTGCTTTTGCTTCTGAAAGGAGGCCACAAGGGCCGCCAGCAAGGCTTCCGGATTTTCCGGGTCGCGAAGCCATTCAGTGCTCTCCGGCGGCAACGCCGTTTGTTGGCCAACTTTGTGGACGCCCGCGGCCATGGCCTTGGGATGGCTCAAGGCCGTCAGTGCCTCGAGGCCCTCGAAAGCAAACAAGTAGAGGCGGGCTGCGAAGCGCAGTGCTTGCCGAAAGGCCACTTCTTTGTCCGCCGCGTCCGCAGTGAAGAAGCGGACGAAGCGCTTCACAGCTTGGGTGGTGGCGGCTGCGGACCTGTCCACATCTGTGTGGGCGGTGTTCAAATAATGGCAGCTCTCCAAAAACTTTTTGCCCTCCGGTGATTGGAGGGCTTGCAGGAGCCGCTCGATGCCAGCCTTCTTCAAGCCCTCGGGTGCAGCGCGGTCCGCAAAGTGGCACTGCAGCAGGAAGGCGCCCACCTCACAGTTCGCAGCCCCTTCGGACAGCGCAATGCCTTGACGGGCGCAGTATTCGGAGCAGGTCTCGTCCAAGACATTGCTCAGGTGCCACGAAGTCAAAAGGCTGCTCTCGGCCACTCCGCGGCCGCCACTGAAGGGGCTGCCGCCTTGCTCCACATACGGCCGCAAGAACCACTTCGACAGCCGGTTCTCCCAAGGCACCTTCTTCGCAAACTCTCGCTTCTCCGCGAGCTTCCCCTTGCCTCCTTTGGGGCTGCCCTTGTTGTTCCAGCGGCCCTTCCAACCGCTGGCGCTGCCGCTTCCGCCCTTGCCCCAGCCCGACATGATGGCACCTACAAGAAGTAGTAGGAAGGATGACCGAGAAGCACGTCGCGTCGATCCGAAAAGGCTGCAGCGAGCCACAAGAAGGTCATGAGAGAAGCCAAGATGCGAAGGCTGAGATGGGACACTCGAAACAGCGGACGGTCGAACACCACTCACGTAGAAGATCTCTCAATACGCGCGCGCGCGTCGACCCGGCGGCGCGTCGCGTCCACGCACGGGGTGTTTTGCCTGAGAACTGTCACTTCGAAGGGCGACTCTCACGCAGCAGCGGCCCGGTGCGGCCACGGTCACGAGAAAGCCGCGCAGAGCGCCAGCAGCCAGCGCGGGCGCGCCATACCTGAGCGAGGCCCGAACGTAAACGACCCACCAGCTGTCCGCTGTCTATCTATCCGTCCGTCCGTCTCTATCTCGGTCTCCGGCCTGGTCTTTGCTGGTCTGTGCCATCAGTCTGTCTGTCTGTCGGTCGGCGGTCTGCTTCTGTCTCTCTGTCTGCCCTGTCTGTCGGGCCACATCCCAATCCCTGGCTGAGCAGGCCAAGGGCCCACTCCCAGGAGTGCATGCCAGGCATCCTTCGGGCGGGTGGGTGGAGCAGGAGAAGTGGCAAGGGTGTTCCCGAGCATGAACCTATGTTTCTGGCGGCCCGCCTGGCGGGGAGCAAGCGCCAGCCCTAAAGTCTTAGGAGGCTCGCTGGGTCACCTGCCGCCCGGGGAGGGCGACAGGCGCGCCCGGGCGCTACTGCCTAACCTTAATTAAGGTTTTGAAAAATGCGCCCCGGAGAAAAGCGACCAGACACGACCGCCAAAAGGTGCCCGGAGACTGGATTCGGAGGGTTCCGGGCCAGTTTTAGTAAAGAATGTAATCGCCGTAGATTTCTCCGGCGGGTCTCCGGCCAATTCTCCGGCGGGTCTCCGGCGAGTATCCGGCAAGGTCTCCGGTTCTCCGGCCGCGTCGCCGGAGAAAGTCTCCGGCGGGTCTCCGGCAAATTCTCCGGCGGGTCTCCGGCGAAAGTCTCCGGCGGGTCTCCGGCGAAAGTCTCCGGCGGGTTTCCGGCTAATTTCTCCGGCGGGTTTCCGGCGAATTTCTCCGGCAGGTCTCCGGCAAATTTCTCCAAGTCTCCGGCGGGTCTCCGGCGAACGTCTCGTTGCGCAGGATTGCCTTAAAAAGAAAGCGTGCAGGGAGGGCTCGAACTCAGGACCGCGTGGGTAGAGACCCCACAGCGTCCCGAAAACGAACTTATGACGGTCAAGGCTGGGTCTTTGTAGCTTGCGTCGCTTTGGAGTTGATCTCCAAAAGCAGGCGCCAGTGAAACTTGCACAGCGGAGGATAAGCCCGAGGCTGCTCGACGGAGGGCCAGCCCCGGTGCAAAGGCAAAATTATCTACGGCGACCGGCGACCCTTTTCACAAGGATTCCGAGCGACGAGGGCCTGCGAGCTAGGTTGGGACGGCTCCAGAGAGCCAATTGTAAAGCCCGGGAGGCTCCAAAGAGCCACATGGAAAGCCTGGGCGGCTCTAGGAAGTCATTTGGACAGCCCAGGAGGCTCGACAGGCTCCAGAGAGCCGGTTGGACAGCCCGCGAAGCCCCAGAGAGCCATTCGGGCACCCTGGGAGGCTGCAGAGAGGCATGTAGACGGCCCGAGAGGCTCCAGAGAGCCATTTGGACTTGCGGCCTTAAAACGATCTCAGATCCCATAACGGGGTTTAGGGTTATAAAATATCTATTGTGACTATAGCTGGTTCGGCTCAGCCTGCAGTGGTGGCTCGAGCTTAGGGCTAGGGAGGCACGCTTCGCAGCCTAGCTTCGCGTGCCGTCCGCCTCGCTGTCGCTCGGGGACGCCCGCCACCTAGAAAAGAGGGTGGCGGGCGGGTTTAGGGTTTAGGGTTT